AACTTTCTTTCTTTCTTTTTTAAATAGTTTTTTATTGATTTTTAGAGAGAGAGGAAGGGATAGGGATAGAGAAATGGAAACATCGATGAGCGAGAAACATCATCCATCGGCTACCTCCCGCACACCCCCTACTGGGGATCAAGCCCACAACCTGGGCATGTGCCCTGACCAGGAATCAAACCAGCGACCTCTTGGTTCATGGGTCAATGTGCAACCACTGAGCAACACCAGCCAGGCTAGAGCAGCTTTCTTGACCTCAACGCTGCTCCTGGTGCCTCCTACATTGGGGGACACAGGAGATTTATCCTTGAGGACTCAACAAGTAACGAACTAGGCCATGGGGGCAAGGTCTTGCTGAAGGTGCCGCTAGAGAGGTCAGAGTGAGGGCTCAAGGATAGAGAACTGGCAGGCTCCTTCTTGGGGTCATTCACCAGGAATCTAACAATCCCCTGAGTGCCCATGGGCATCTGGGATCCTGTGAACATGATGGGGTGGGGGAGCAGGGCTTCCAAGTGGTGGGATTTTATCTGTGTCCTCAAGTACGTGCATGGTGGGATCCTCCAATTTTGGATTTGGGGAGTAGCCCTGGAGTGGTGCTAGCCCTGCTAGTAGCTATGGGATGGGAAGGAAGGGGTAGGAGTCTCATCTTTTTCTGATGATTTTCTGTAGAGACCAGTTCAACTCTTTCACCAAAATTTTGGCCCTCATCTGCTATGAATTCTTCAAGCACTGGCGCTGGAGGGCTGACTGTGACCAAGGCACTGCCCACTGTTTCGGGGAGTTTGCTCTCAGGAGGAGAGGGTGTGGCCACTGAGACCCAGAGAAAGACTGAAAATGTGACCACAATCCCCAGAGGTGGGATTGTGACCCCTACAAGGGGAGCTGCATCCTTTGTAAAGCACAGTGTAGTTCTACAAGGGAAGACTGAGACTCCTGGGGAAAAGACCATGACCCCTGTGACCCCTGAACAGATGACTATGACCTCTGGGCACCTTGAGACTGAGACCTCCAGAGTGAAGATCATGGTCCGTGGAAGGAAGGCTGTGGCACCTGCAAAGATGATTATCCCTTCGGGAAAGATGACAGTCACCCCCGATGGGAAGACTGAGACTCTAAGAGGAGAGCATTTGACATCGGAGGTGGACACAGACCCCTGACAGGTTACTTTGCTCTTTAGATAGAAGCTGCCCTCTGACCTGTCATCCAGCTCCCAGGACACTCCTTTGGCCTTGGCGACCCCTTTGTTCCCACTGATGGAAACCATTCTGTCAACCGATGATCCTTTCAACCAGGACTCTCTCTCTAAAGATAGGAAACTCTGCTGTGGATCAAGGAGCCTCCGCTCTGTTGGTGGCGGACGCTGGGGAAAGCCCGTGTCTTTTCTTCCAGGTCGCCTGGCAGAAGCCTCCTGTGCCTAACCCTTCATAAACCATTCATGGGCAAAGCAGGTCCCAAAGCCACAGTGAGCTAATCTCTTCTCTGTTTAATAAACTGGAAGCAAAGAATCCATCCGAGTTCTTTGACGTAATTTCTTTCTTTCTTTCTTTCTTTCTTTCTTTCTTTCTTTCTTTCTTTCTTTCTTTCTTTCTTTCTTTCTTTCTTTCTTCTCTTTCTTTCTTCCTTCCTTCCTTCCTTCCTTCCTTCCTTCCTTCCTTCCTTCCTTCCTTCCTTCCTTCCTTCCTTCCTTCCTTTCTCTCTCTCTCTCTCTCTCTCTCTCTCTCTCTCTCTCTCTCTCTCATTTTCTTAATTGACTTTATTGGGGTGACATTGGTTAGTAAAATCATATAGGCTTCAGAGGTACAATTATATAATACATCATCTGTATATTGTATTGTGTGTTCACCACCCAAATCTGAAGTTACTTTCTTTATTTTTAATCCTCACCTGAGGATATTTTTTCATTGATTTTTAGAGAGAGTGGAAGAGAGAGGGAAAGACAGAGAGACATATTGATGTGAGAGAAGCACATCAATTAGTTGCCTCCTGCAAGTGCCCCGACCAGGGCCCGGACCAGGAGGAGCCTGCAACCGAGGTACATGCCCTTGACAGGAATTGAACCTAGGACCCCTCAGTCCTCAGGCTGGTGCTCTATCCACCGAGCAAAACCGGCTAGGGCTGAAGTCAGTTTCTTGAAATGACCTGTATGACCCAGTTTCAGCTTCTCCTTTCCAAGGTCACTTTCCCCTATTGCCATTTTTGGAAAGTGGGAGTTGTGTCTAGCCCACACTGACGTTTTCCACTGTGGACTATGTGTTTCTCTCTCTCCCCTGAATAACCTCTCACTTCACTTTGGTCAGAACCAGAATCTCTTCTAGAGAAGTTTCCTATAACCCTCAAGGGAGGCTGGGAGAAGGAGAGGGGGAGTTGAATCTTCCAATTATATTCCCTGCTTGGTAAAATCTTAGTTGTCTCTAAAAATATATCTCACCCATTCTTTTCCATGAGGAGCAGTTGAGAGGAAGGCAAAACACTGCATTTTGGGGTGTTAACTGTAGGCTTCTCCTAGGTCTCCCCCATAAACACCAATCCTCACTACACATTGCCATCAACCTATGGGGTGTTTTCCTGGGCATGAAGGACCCTCATACGTTAGTATAGACACAGGACCACTTTCTAGTCCTCCCCTCTAGGAGAGGATGATGCTCAGGGTGGGTGTCATACTTATCACCAATGTTACCATTCTTTTGAAAATGCAGTCTCCAAGTCTTAAAATGAGTCTCAAATTAGAATTCCAGTAGTGACTTACCGAACAGGCTAGAGAGGGAAAGGCTAGAATGAGCCCCGTGGTGTTGGAATCAGAGGTATCAATATGAAGTCATGATTCTAAAAGTGTATACAGATAGGTCAGTAGAAAAATTGATATAGAAATACAGTATGTGTATACATAATTATATTCCTAGCTTGGACCACCGAGAGGGCCTGGAAGCAATGACATTTCAGAAGCAATAAGCTCATCTAATGCTCAGATCTTGACTTCTAAATTTTGTTTCTCAATAAAAGGAACTGGGGATCCTTGCAAAGATAGCTGATTCTTGGGCTGGGGCAGGGAAGGCACAAGAAAAGACTAGAATATCTTACGTTTCCATAAAGTAAGGAAGTACTCAAAAATCAATGAGGCCATGTCAGAGGGATACCAGAGCCACCCTGAAAGAGTTCCAAATGGCCCAAATTGGGACAATTTGCACAACAAAATAATAATAGACTTTAACCCATAGAATAAAGTAAATATCATGGGTTCATACGCTATCGATGAATAACTGAATTTAAAAATGGAGAAGAAGGGACAGCTGCTCCTTAAAATAGAATGTCAGTTAATAAATGTTGAAAAAAGAGTCTAGGGTGTGATAAGCATAACCAATGGACATAAGACACTGGAGGGTAGGGGAGGCCAGGGGAATGTCAAGGGGGAGGGAAAAAAAGGAGACATATGTAATACTCTTTGTAATACTTTAAGCAATAAAACAAAATTTTTAAAAAAAAGAGTCTAGGGTGTGACAAGAGACACAGATGTGGGATGGGAGTCTTAGGAACCACCGGCAAGGTGACGATTTGAGAGATTGACATGGGAGAGGGGCAGGGCGCAGGCTCCGAGGGCATGACTAATGAACAGGTATGGTTGTCTACACCCAGGAAAGTGAGCTGAGAAGAAAATGTTATGAGCTTTCGTCACTTTCTAATTTGAATTTTCAAAAAACGATTTTTGTAAGTTAGAAATACTGCCAATAGGTGGCAGCAGCATGCAGGGTTACATTTTTTTACGAGGACCAGAAGAAAACTTGGTCCTTGTGTGTAAATGAATGAAAAAAAATTTTCCCCATAAAATAAAATATCTTTTTTCCCCATAAAATAAAATAACTTTCCACAAAAAAGGGAAAGCAAATATAAATCTCTTTGTTGTTATTATCATTAAGATTGATAGTTTCATGCACATTGAAGCTATGAGAGCTTGCGTACACCAGGCTCAGAGAAGAAGGCTGTGGTTAGGTAGAGGTTGAGTTCAGACACACCAGAGACTTAATCCCACCTCTACCATTTATTGACTATATGATCATGGCCGGGGGGGGGGGGGGGGGGCGGCGGGGGCGGTAATTTGATTATGTGCCAGTCATTTCAGCAGGAATGCAGACATTTGCATACCAGGGCCATTTCTTAATGGTCTTTGCACTTCCAGAGCTCACTACGGAGGTGAGCATAGAGTGGGCCTTCACTACATGTTGACTAATTTGTGAACTGAGACGCTGAAAATGAGGAGCAGAGAGTCGTGGACTATGAGAATCTATGGAAAGCTATAGACGGGACTGATCAGAGGAAGAGGGAGGAGAAAGAGAAGTAGAGAGTAGACCAGTGATGGCGAACCTTCTGAGCTCGGCGTGTCAGCATTTTGAAAAACCCTAACTTAACTCTGGTGCCGTGTCACATATAGAAATTTTTTGATATTTGCAACCATAGTAAAACAAAGACTTATATTTTTGATATTTATTTTATATATTTAAATGCCATTTAACAAAGAAAAACCAACCAAAAAAATGAGTTCGCGTGTCACCTCTGACACGCGTGTCATAGGTTCGCCATCACTGGAGTAGATTGTAAATCTCAAAACAGCACATGCCCTTTGAAGCTAAAGAGCAAACTGTTCCGTTGTTCTGGCAGAAGTTGCTAGCACCCACTTCCCAGCAGGCACGGGCACCAGGATCTTTTGTCTCCAGTAAACTTTACATTTGTTATCACAGCCTAATCTTTAGACTCCATCAGCAAAGCCACTAATTGCTTTTTAAATAGGCCACAGAGTAGATAAAGTCCTTCATGCTTGCCAAAGGGAAAAACAAATAGAATTCATGGAAGTGTAGGGGAACGGGCTGTTACACAAGCAGAAAAGTCCAGGTGCCTAGAGATGAAAAGTGCAGGGAGATCAGGGTATAAGAGAGGGACCCGACCTCCCTCTGTGCGTCCCAACACTTGGGTCTGTCACTGTGTCCTGTGTGTTGGTGAAAATCAGCGCCATGAAGATCCTGGTCTTGGTCTTGGTTTACCTACACCTCTCAGAGGGTGTGGAAAGGTGTGTATTGGGATGCAGCCTCACTGTGAATTCCAGCTCCAAGGGAGCGTGACAAGCTAGAGAAGAGCAAAGGGTTGCAGGTCTCTTGGAGAGGCAGTCAGATTGTACCATGAACTGAACATCCACTGGGAGCCAAGACTTGAAATGGATGGATGGATGGATGGATGGATGGATGGATGGATGGATGGTGTGTGTGTGTGTGTGTGTGTGTGTAAAAGTGGGTTGAGTGTTTTGTTAGTTTAGAAGAATGGACAACCCTTGTCCCAAGCTTATAGCAGGCGCTGGGAAGAAACAGACAGTTATTCTCTGGAAACAAGATATAAGCACAACCCCCCCCCAAATATTATGTAGTGTGTTTCTGTTCTGGAAATCCAGGAATGACTGTAGTGGTCAGAACTTGCTAAAATCCAGGAGGATTTCTTGTATTTCACTCTTCCTGAGCAGAAAGTACTGAAGAGATTTGAAAAAGTTGCTTTGTAAAGTACTGAAGAGATTAGAAAAAGATCATTGGAGAAGTTGCTTTAACAGGGCAAGGTGAAGCTCATTCATTTTTTAACCCTATTCTCTGCAGAATCATTCTTAAAAAAGGCAAGTCTATCCGCCAGACAATGGAGGAGAAGGGCGTCCTGGAGAAGTTCCTAAAGAACCACCGGAAGGAGGACCCAGCTGCCAAGTATCATTTCAACAATGATGCTGTTGCTTACGAACCCATCACTAACTACTTGGATGTGAGTGAAGGTGGAGGGGTGTCCATCTCTTGGCTGATAACCACTTAAAAGTACTCATTTATGCCCCTCATTTGCTCTGATTTGGACTAATTACTAAACCCAAGTCTCACTATCCTACGGAAAGTATCTAAAAAAAATTATGGGTTGGTAGTATCTAATAGGGTAGTAGCTCCCTTTCCTTTCCCCCTTTCTCTTATTACCGGCCCATCGCTCCAAAGCCCCATTTATATGGTTAAGAGACTTATAGGGGTAATGTTCAACTCAATGGAGAGATCCCAGGGAAGTCCTAGCAATGAGCTGCAGGAGAAAGAAGGAAAACATGTGCCTAGCTGGTTTGGCTCAGTGGATAGAGCATCAGCCTACTGACTGACGGGTCCCAGGTTCAATTCCAGTCAAAGGCACAGGTTGCAGGCTTGATCCCTAGTAGGGGACGTGCAGGAGGCAGCCGATCAATGATTCTCTCTCATCATTGATGTTTCTATCTCTCTCTCCCTCTCCCTTCCTCTCTGAAGTCAATAAAAATATATTTTTTTTTAAAAAAAGAAGGAAAACATGTGCAAGGCCACTAGGGAAAATCGCCCCCTTTGGAAAGATACACTGGTGTCCAGAGAAAGTATTAGAATGTTCTCGAGGCTATGATGTCTGCTCAGGGCATCTTGACTTACTGGTGTCCCGTGGACTGTTCTTAGTAAGATGTTATACAGAGCATCAGAGCTGGAAGCCACTTTAGGGAATCACACATGGGGTGGGAAAATTGTGGGAGAAGCCTCTTATTCCCCTAAGGAGTGATTTGGGCAAAATGTGACGCCCAGTGGGTCAGCTTCTTCCCCACCCTTAGGACAAGGCTAAGCTTCGTAATGAGGGCAACGAACCTTTCTTTGCAGGCTTTCTATTTTGGGGAGATAAGCATTGGGACGCCACCCCAAAATTTCCTGGTCCTCTTCGACACGGGCTCTTCCAATCTGTGGGTGCCCTCCACCTATTGCCAGAGCCAGGCCTGCTGTGAGTATACCACCATGCCACCCCTGCCATGGATGAGAGCAGAGTAAGGGGCAGAGTCAGGATTGGCCCAGGTTATGATGTCAAGTACAGAGTTCTTGGTGCATATCCATGATCTCTTCCTTCTTAAATTAGGAACCTCTAGAAATCTTGCCCTCAGTCTTGCCAACAGTTTTGGAGAAAGGCAGCAGACATAGACTAAAACTTCCACTTCTTTCTACATTGTCCCTTTCCCTCCTCTCTCTCCAGTGGGCCAGAATCCCTGACATTTTTGAGGGGACCCATCCCTCAGGGAATGATGGATTGAAAGGAATTCGGGCAATGTTTGCTGCCTAAGGGGACAGACTTTTCTGGGGCTAACACGGGTTGTCTATATTGTGAAGGATCCGAGGCTGAGCCCCATCCCAGACTTGGTCTGAGGATCCCGGGCCATTGAGGATATGTTTCCTCCAAGCATCCTGAAAGCAGTGAACGATGCTAATATTTCATTCTGTCTTTCCACAGCCAATCACAACAGGTTCAACCCCAGCCTGTCCTCCACCTTCAGAAACAACGGGCAGACCTACACACTGTCCTACGGGAGTGGCAGCCTGAGTGTGGTCCTGGGATATGACACTGTGACTGTGAGTGATGTTCTCATAGCCTCTGAGGTTCTGTGCTCTGGCTCCCATTTCTAAAGCCTTAAGTGCTCAGACAAATCCACGATTACCAGTCAGGTCAAACCTTCCCAGGAGCTGAGAGTTGGAAAAGGCATCAAAGGCCATCTCATTCAACCTTCCTCCCAAGACAGGAGTTGCCTCCACAGCAGCCCTGGCTGCAGAAAGCCCGTTATGCTGTGTTGAAACTGTGTGTCTTCCTGTGACTCTGTTCCCTGCTCTTCACTCTACCCTCTGCAACCACACAGAACGTCTGCTTCCTCCTCCATACAACTTCACCTTGGTTACTTGAAGATCTGCCCTTTCACTGTTTTCTTATGTTTTTATGTCTGACACCCATAGCTTCTCTACAGATTTTGCACGTAGACTGCTCAACATAAAACCAGTCGCTGTCCATGGAAATGGAAACGAACTCCAGAAAACAACCGCCTTTGCTTCCCCAGCACCCACGCTTTTTCCTAAAACATACGTGGTTGGGTGACGCTCTTGCCCTTTCACCTCCCACACCCACACCCAGGAGCGAGCTCAGCATGAAAGAAGCCAGCTTCTCCCCCCCAGATCAGGTTCTAGATTCCAGACCCTGGGCACCTACATCCGGGAAGGATTTGTCCACGTTGAGTTGTTCAGCTGCTCTGTCTGCTTGGCCCAGGTTCAGAACATCGTCGTCAATAACCAGGAGTTCGGCCTGAGCGAGAATGAGCCCAACAACCCCTTCTACTACTCAGACTTCGATGGGATCCTGGGGATGGCTTACCCCAACATGGCGGTGGGCAGTGCCCCCACAGTCATGCAGGGGATGCTGCAGCAGGGCCAGCTCACCCTGCCCATCTTCAGCTTCTACTTCTCTCGGTAAGAGCCCTTGTCCCGGGAAGAGGTCAGCAAATGAGGCTCTGTAGGGGCTTTGGACAACTCAACATCAGACAGAGCTCAGGCTGTCGAGTTTTCCGATTCAGTGACTATAATCTGCTATGCATTTCTGAAGATTTATAGACACATTTCTGGGGGAATTTTATTTTAAACGCACTGGAAGGATTTTTAATTGTGGCCATAAACCATACGATGACTCTTTTCTTAAAAAATAAGCAGTAGTCCCTCAATATTTGTCCAGTAAACCTGGAGAATGCTGTGAGTGACCAGCGTAACTGTGGAGCTATAGAACAAGCGCCATGAGCATTGACCAGTGAAGAGAACAATAATGAGATGCTAATTATAACGGCATCTCTGGCTTTATGAAGGGTTCTTGTAGCAGTGACTTCAAATGACATCTTACAAATCCTGTTGTTGGCCTCATTTTTCCAGTGAGGAAATGGAAGCTCAAACAAGTTGTGAATGTTAAGAAAGCTCCACCCATGTGGGTGTAAAGGCGAGACTCAAACACAAACATTTTGATTTGAAAGCTTTTCCTTCTCCCTCTGGCCTTGAACTTTTGTGACATGCATCACTCCCTGCTTTTCTTTTCTACACACACGATCCTCAGGGAACCTAAAGTCCAAATGCCTTTCGACGATGACTGGCAGGTGCAGGGTAGTGAACACAACAGACCCCAATCCTCTCAGCGTTACCTGGTGACCCACCGGGCCACGACAGAAACACCCTCATCTCAGCAGCCTCGGCATCTCTGAGGACATCCGGGTGCTCTCAGAGGGGTTTCTTGCTTTGCCCCAGGCAGGGTGTCTGGGATACTTTTATAGCTTTTTTCCAGGTGCCTGATTTCCAAGTCTATTTTCTTTATGGACATAGTCTCTGTTTCCAATTCTCTGATAATTATTTCCGAGAATGATTGGGTGTCTCTCTGAGATTCCCTTGTACCTTGAGCCGGGTGATGTCTGAAGAGCACCCCTTCGTTCTGCTGTACCCCAGTGTGGGAGGGAGGGAGGGAGGGAGGGAGGGAGAGGAGAGGAGGGAGGGGAACGCCTGACCCATCTGTATTATGGAAACTCATGCACGTTACATTCCTTCTCAGCCAACCAACCTATCAGTACGGTGGAGAGCTCATCCTGGGCGGCGTGGACCAGCGCTTTATTCCGGTCAGATCGTCTGGGCCCCTGTCACCCAGGAACTGTACTGGCAGATTGCCATTCAGGAGTGAGTAGAGAAGCGGAGAGTTCCTGTGGGTGAGGGACACGCGTGGGTGTTTCTCTAGCATGACAGCATTCCCAGTTGCTGGCCTGGCACGGCTTTCTCGAGGAATCACCAAACCCTCAGGCTGAGATAGACTCTGGCATCCAGGTCCTGCCTTCCAAGAGCTTTCAGCCAGAGCTGGAGGGGTTGCCAGACCAAGCCTGAGGGCAACACTCCTGTGGCCAGAAAGGCACAGAAGCACGCCTGGCAGAGGTGTTAGTGTGGCCTGCTTCCTGGAAGAGCCAGAATGCCGCAGCTGGGCGGCTGGTGGGTGAGGGCTGATCATGTTGGTAGCAGACGCTCCTGACTCTCTGTACCCGTGTCCCCTCAGGTTTGCCATCGGTGACCAGGCCACTGGCTGGTGCTCCCAGGGCTGCCAGGCCATCGTGGATACAGGCACCTTCCTGCTGGCAGTTCCCCAGCAGTACATGGACTCCTTCCTGCAAGCGACAGGAGCCCAGCAGGCTCAGAATGGTGATGTGAGTAACCAGAAGCCACGGGAGTCTCTGTACAGCCAGGCAGGCTCAACACAGGAGCCCGAGCTCAGGCAATGAGGTCATCAGAGGGAGGAGGAAGGGCTGGGTGGGCCCCTGAGCCCCTGGCAGGACAGATCGGGTGGGAACACAGCATGAACTCTAGGCGCAAGGAAGGGTAAGGGGGTGAGTAATACTGACTCCATCCAGACTGTGAGTGGGACCAACGGCTATGGGCAGGTGCTCTTAACCCATCGCAGGTCTTAGGAACACACGTCAGCTTGGTCTGGCCATTGTCATTTGACTGCAATGTCATCAGGGCACAGTGCATTTTCCCATTCCACCTGGGTTTCTGTCTTCACTAGGAATACATCTTTGGGTTTTACTCTGAGAAGCCTCCTGTCCTCACCCTTCCTCCTCTTTGCACACATATCAGTAGTTTGCTTCTCCTTGTATGTGCGAGTCTGGGCCCAGACTAAATCCTGGCTCCCCAAGGTGTGTGTGTGTGTGTGTGTGTGTGTGTGTGTGTGTGTGTGTGTCCACACCTTTTCTCTGTAATTTGTGCTTTCTGGGCACAGAAATTGTTGTGGAATGAGCCTAACTCCTTATAGCCATATGGATACAACCCAGGTCTAAGAGCTGAGATGCCTGAAAGGAGAGGATTCCAGAAGAAAGAGGGGGGTCTGGTCAGCGTTGCACGGGAGTCAGGCCTTGCGGTCCTCGCTCTGAGAGAGCCTGTGCTGCAAGGTCAAGCACAGGGTCACCCAGGAAAAGGGGGCTCGCCCTTCGTCTGGGCTCCAGGGGGCGCTCTACAGCTTTGCCTTTTCTGTCTCCCAGTTCGTGGTCGACTGCAACTCCGTGGAGAACTTGCCCACCATCACCTTCATCATCAGCGGGTCCCAGTTCCCTCTGCCTCCCTCCGCCTATGTCCTCAACGTATGTGGTCACTCCCAGGATATGTGGTTGGATGGGCCCTACAGCTGTCCCGTGTCCCAGCTCACATCTGGGCAGCTATGGGGAGTCCCCAGGGCAGGGCTGGGGTGGACAAGAACTCAGAGACCCCAGAGGGTGCCATGGACTACAGGGTGGGGGAAGTTCGGGTGGGGGGAGGTCTCTATAGTGCAAATGGTTATATCCTGGTGTCCCCTGTCCCCTTAGGACAACGGCTACTGCAGGCTGGGGATCGAGGCCACTTACCTGCCCTCCCCCAACGGGCAGCCGCTGTGGATCCTGGGGGACGTCTTCCTCAAGGAGTACTACTCGGTCTACGACATGGCCAACAACAGGGTGGGCTTTGCCTTCGCTGCCTAGACGGCGAGAGGCAGCTGTCCGCACCCCGCACGCAGGGCTGGGGATGCCCTCGGGTGGCTGTGGGCTCACCGCACCATTTCCAACTACCCTGACCCCTTCTGTTCACTACAGTCTTACTTCCTGCAATGAATAAATCGGGGAAACTCCAAACGTCTTTGAAGTTCCTTCCAAAATGTCCTCTTTGTGTGTGTTCTGCTTTTAGTCATTTATTCTAAATGAAACTTAGCAGCAGCTATGTCCGGGGGTCTGTTCACTGAGCGATGGGAGAGAACCCGGGAGGGAGAGCAGGTCTGTGCGCAGACCGGAGGCCGGGGTGGGATCTATGGGAGGCCTCCACCCGAGGTCATGCCCCCTCCCAGCACTCTACTCCAGCGCTTTCCTCTCTCCATTCTGGAAAAGAACATGAACCAGACCAATCCCCAACTTCAGAATGTTGGAGAGAGAAAAAAGAAACCTTCGCATTCCACATAGTTGCTGTGAGGGCCGAAATACAACACCAAACTGGCCTTTATGCTCTCACGGGGTACTTAGGGCCCCTTGCCCCTCCCTGGGCCTCAGGCTGGCTGAGGAGCAGGCCACACAGTGCAGAGGGAGAGGAGCAGCTCGGTCCTCCATTGGGGAGATGCTGTGGTCTGGAGGAGCAGGTGAAGGAAGACCCAGCTTCTGAACCGTAGAACAGGCTCAAGTAGGCCATACGGCTCCGATGTCTTCTGAAGTCCTTGTCGCTGGGCAGCTGCAAGGAGAGAATGTTGTCTCAGACCAAACGCGGAGGAGAGCCCTTTGGCTCTGGTCCTCCTGGCTGTGCAAGATAGAGCTGCCCATGGCAGCCGTTGTGGCCTAGCTAGCCCCCACCCCACAGTCACCTAGCCTCAGTCATCCTCTCAATTATTTAATTAATTAATTTATTTGAGAGAGAGAGAGCGCGGAAGGGAGAGGGAGAGACAGAAAGAAACATCAATATAAGAGTGATTGAGCCCGCAACCCAGGCATGTGCCCTGATCAGGAACCGAATCGGCAACCTTTCAGTGCACGGGACGATGCCCAACCAACTGAGCCACTCCAGCCAGGGCTGATTCTCTCAACGTTTGTATGTACAGTGACTCTTTATCATCTTACTTTGGTGTCTATCATGTTGAGAATTTTTTTTTTTAGTTGGTAAATCTCTAAGAGTTAACTGGTAAACTTCTTGAAAACAAAGATCATATGTTCAATTCTTGAATGTGACCTATAGGCCCTAGCACAATTATACTAATACATCAGGGATGTAATAAGTATATGTGAAATTTATCCAAAATTCCACTAGGAAATAAAAGGCACCTTTGGAATTTATGGTAGCTAACATGTATTAAGCGTTTATTATAGGTTCTGTGTTAAATGCTTTTCTACCTTATCTCAATCTTTACAACCTTATCAGATTGATTATTATACTCATTTTAAAGATATGAAAACTGAGGCTTAGAAAAAGTAGGGGACTTGTCCAAGATCATACATCATGTAAGTACTGGAGCTAGGATTTGAACCCAGGCAGTTGTCCCCAGAATCCATGCTCTTACAGAATGCTCTACAACCCCCTGATGATCTAATACTCAAGTGACAGGATGGAAAGAGCAGGGTTTTTTCCATCATTCTCTAGATGGATCTAGATCTAGATTCATGTGTGGCCTGCAAAAATCACTTAATCTGTCTGAGTCTCAATTTCCTCCTCTATCATACACAGATTAGAGGCCTGGTGCATAACATTTGTGCACTCGGGGAGGGGGGTCCCTCAGCCCGGCCTGCACCCTCTTGCAGTCCAGGATCCCTCAGGGGATGTCTGACTGATGGCTTAGGCCCACTCTCCATGGGACTAACGTCAGTCAGACATCCTTAGTGCTGCTGTGGAGGCGGAAGAGACTACCGCCACTGCGCTTGTCAGCTATGAGCCCCGTTCAGGGCTTCTGGCTGAGTGATGCTCCCCCTGTGGGAGCACACTGACCACCAGGGGGCAGCTCCTGCATTGAGCGTCTGCCTCCTGATTGTCAGTGCGCATCACAGCGACCAGTTGTTCCACCGTTCGGTTGATTTGCATATTAGCCTTTTATTTTATAGGATAATTCTCCTGTACCTACCACAAATTGAGGATTAAATAAGATTCACTAGAACTTTTGTGCAGACATGCACATCTTTAAAAAAAATTTAATAAAATTGCCCTAGCTGGTTTGGCTCAGTGGATAGAGCATTAGCCTGTAGCTGAAGAGTCCCGGGTTCGATTCTGGTCAAGGGCACATGCCTGGATTGCAGGCTTGATCCCCAGTAGGGGGTATGCAGGAGGCAGCCAATCAATGATTCTCTCTCAGCATTGATGTTTCTCTCTCCCTTCTTCTCTGAAATCAATAAAAATATTTTTTTAAAATCTAATAAAATTGTACAACTTTCCCCCAAATTCCTATATGCATATACACACAAAATTGTGCGTATAATTTCAGGGGAACAGGACTCTCCAAAGCTCATTCACAGACTCCCCGTTAGGAGCCCCTATGGAAGAACTAGATAACATTCTACAGAAGCCCAGTGTTGTTACCTCAGCTTTTAGGGTCCTTTTCTGCAGACATGGGATCTGAGCCCAGTCTGGAGATCCAAATTTCATTGGCCAGGTGACTTTTGCGGGCGGCTTTATCTGTGGGTTGTACATGTCAGGGCTAGAAATCAAAACATGCAACATGATGTCAATGACTTAGTGACTATTTGTGAATCCCATCAGTAAGCTGTCCCTGAACTAGGTCTAACTCCTTGATAACAGGCAACAGACTGATCAGGTTTTTAATGTTGGGCAAGCACCTTCAGCTGTTCATGTCTTTCTAATTAGGTGTCACTCACTTTCCCAGAAAGACCTCTCTCCACAACCCTTGATAAAGTAGCCTCCAGTCAATGCATCACTCAGCATTATATCCTCATCCTGTTTTATCGTCCTCATAGTCCATTGCCAGGTCACCGTTCTGCTTGGTTTGCTCACGACAGTCTTGGCTTATGGCTACTGTCTTGGTATAGTTATTCATAAGGTGAACCCTTTAACTCTCGAATGTGTCACGGTCAGACTAATACAGATATGGCCACTCTCCTTCTTACTGTTGATATTTTCTTATTTGCTCCTCATCTATCTGGATTCTAGAATGTAAGCTCCAAGAAATCAGGAGCCTTGTGTGATGGGTTCAATGCAACATCTCTGGAACCCACAGAACTGCCTGGCACATTTATAAATACTTGTTAAACGAATCACTATGATTGACACTTCCATGATGCCAGAGATCTGGAAGGCAAAAGAGGTTGAATCTTAAAGATGAGTGGTTTTGTGCCTGTCCTTCCTTTCCTATCGCTTTCTGTTGAAGTTCCCCAGAAAAGAGGAGACATACCCAGGAAAACTCATGTCCTTTGAGTGTGTCATAAATCGAGGCAACATGACATTAAAGGGAGCAAAACTTTGTTTTTGTTTTCCCTCCTGAAGATTTATTGTCTGGTACGTGGCTGGGTGAGGTGTCAGATCCTGTGTTCAAGAAAAAGATCAATATGTTAGAAGATGATACACAGGTATGCATGTGAAGCCTTGTAAGTAAAACACACACACACACACACACACACCTCAGACTCATCCTCTTCTGGTTCATGTCTGGTTCATGTATCAGCTATGGTTTAACCATCTCAAGCTACAGAAATAGGCCTATGATAGGTAGAAAACCAACTACCTAAAAATGCATCCTGCTTAGGTTGTAGAAATCAACCTCTTCCTGCACGCCCCCCACTGGAGATTGAGTCTGCAAACTGCATCCTGGGCATGTGCCCTGACCAGGGATCGAACCATGACCTCATGATTCATAGGTTGATGTTCAACGACTGAGCCACGCTGGCTGGGCTTGTTTTCTTTTTAATCTTTATCGGAGAATATGTTTATTGAATTAAGAGCAAGGAAGAGGGAGAGAACCCAGGTATGTGACTGGGAATCTGACAACCTTTTGGTGCACTGGATGATGCTCCAACCAACTGAGCCACACCAGTCAGGGTGGAATTTTTTTAAAATATATTTTTATTTATTTCAGAGAAGAAGAGAGAGGGAGAGAGAGATAGAAACATCAATGATGAGAGAGAATCTTTGATCGGCTGCCTTCTGCACGCTCTCTACTGGGGACTCAGCCCTAAACCTGGGCATGTGCCCTGACTCAGAATTGATTGATGCTCAACCACTTTGCCACAACAGGCTGGGCTGTTTTTCTGACAAGATAATCCGATACATATAAACAAAGCTTCCAGTACTTTAACATCAGGTGTCTCAGTCAGCACTGAAACTCTAATTTGGTACCATTTCTCCTGATGATTGTTTCTCACTCTCCCAGACTCTCTCTCTCTCTCTCTCTCTCTCTCTCTCTCTCTCTCTCTCACACACACACACACACACACACACACATTCCCAATGCATTAGCCCAAGCTTTTCAGATAGGCTTAATGGCTTTTGCCTAAATGTCTTTATTTATTTAATTTCAGAGCATACTGTTTAGGTAACCTCCCACTCACTGCCCTGTGCTTCCCAATGCAAATACATACAACACCATGGATCACACGAAAACTGAAGTGCATGCAACCATTTCTAACCTTATTCGGCTTAAACCTCACGGCTGTTCTGGCTCCCAAAATATATCCTTTTTTACTGGTCGGGATTTTGGAGAGGTTGTGTACCCAATCATACCTCTTCGGGTAGAATATTTTTTTTAAAACAAACAAAGAAAGAAAAACACAGAGAACGTTATCGTCATGAAAACAGCATGGACTTAGAAAGAATCTTCTCTGCAGGAGTTGCTCTCTCTTGACTTCTTGACTTCTTGACTTCTGCGACTCAAGACCATAGATACAAGGACATGAGTAACAGGTAACTTTGCAGGGGAATGTGCCTGGGTAAGGCGACATTTCTTTGCCTTCCAGTGAATCCAGTCCTCTGACCACAGAGCTGGATTTGCTCTAATGCAAGTGTATCTGATCATATTATTTCATGAACTCTCCTACCAACACATCTACAATCCAGGCTTGGTCTAATGGGTGGGTAACTGGCATTGGTTCATAAGTCTTTGGAGGTGGGAATGGAGTGGGGCTTGTGTTGGATGGAGGCTGGAAGCGGGGAGGACTGGTCCTTTCATCTATGACATTGACCCTGACAGCTGGCTGCAGAAAATAAGGGCACTTTCTCATTTGGGGACCCTGAAGGTCACACATTCTGTAGTTTTTCTTCCACTGAACTTGGCTATCTTTAAATAGGTGGGGAACTGGAGACGCACCTCAGGGAAGGGGAATACTCACAGTATCTGTTGTGTAACATCCAGGCCCTCTGTGGGGTGCTCCCCTAAGAGGGAGAAACGTGTTTCCCAAAAGGTTGTGTGGATGGAAGTAAGGAAAGATCTTCTTCTCTTCTCCTGTTCCGAAGGGGTGCTGAACCACAGGTCCTGAAGGTCAAGAAAGAGGAGAAGAGCCACTTGGGGGATCTAAGGGAGTGCCTTAGAGGGGGCGGGGAGACACGGGGAGGCTGAGCAGAGGACAGGGCTTTGCAAAAACCAGACCAAAGTCCATGAAGGGGACCCAACGGCCTTTCCTCCACTTCGTCTTTCCCAGCCGCCCCCAGTCTTCCTCCCCTGTACGCTACACCCCTTCACCGCAACCCTCCTCACCCCCTCTGTTGAAGCCCATCCTGACGCTTGTTTGGGTTAGCACTTGTGTACTGCGTTGCCAAGGGAATGGACGCTAGCCTCGCGGGCCTCTGCTCTGAGCTCGCCTGCGCCTGCGCAGCAAGTGGGAGCGCCCGCCCTGGAAGCCAGCCACCTACAGGGCGGGACCGCACCTCCTCCCGGACCCAAAGCCCAGGGGAATGTGGACTCTGCAACTGGGTTGGCGGTAGATGGCTCTGCTGGACCCGTGACTATTGGGGCTGCGGGGGTGAAGGATGGGCCCAAGGGCCACTGGGAGTGTGCTGAGGAGAGAGGGGACACTGGGGCTCAGAATGCCTGGAAATTGGGGCTACTAGGACCAGGGACTAGTAGCAGCCGCTGCAGTGATGGCTTATGGAGGTGCGCTCCCAGGGCAACCCGAGCAGGGGAATTGGGGACCCTATTAGCCCCTCTTAGGCCCCCTTTTTCCTGCTCCTCAAGCCCTTTCCCCATCAGGTAGTCTCCTTGTCCCCCTAAAGCAGTGGTTCTCAACCTTCCTAATGCCGCGACCCTTTTAATACAGTTCCTCATGTTGTGGTGACCCCCAATTTCATTGTTACAAATTGAACATCATTAAAGCATAGTGATTCATCACAAAAACAATATGTAATTATACATGTGTTTTCCGATGGTCTTAGGCGACCCCTGTGAAAGGGTCCTTCGACCCCCAAAGGGGTGGCACCCACAGGTTGAGAACCGCTGCAAAAGGGAGCGAGCGCAAGGTTGTAACAGGGCTGGAAGCCTTAAGAGGAGCAACAAAATCACAGAAGTTTTAATAGTTTTTAAATCGTGGGCAGTCACTTAAATGTCCAAGTCCCCGTTTCCTCATCTCTACATTGAGAATGATAAGAATTCTTCTTGCCGAAACCCAACAGTTGGTGCTGCTCTTCCCTTTGAATATTTGCTAATGAAAAAGCTGGCTGCACAGCAGAAGACTTGAGCAGAACTTTGAACAGTCTCTGAAAGTTGGGGGGCAAAAATTAGGCTGACCCTGGAGGAAGGAGAACTGGAAAACACCTTGGGCTTGTAGTTGGGACCTTAAGGAAATAAACCCTAGGGATAAAGGTGTCCATTTATAATTCTGCTCTTTTATTTTTTTAAAAAAATATATTTTTTTATTGATTTCAGAGAGGAAGGAAGGGAGAGAGATACAAACAATGATGAGAGAGAATCATTGATCTGCTGCCTCCTGCATGCCCTCCACTAGGGACCGAGCCCGAAACCTGAGCATGTGCCCTGACTGGGAATCGAGCCGTGACCTCCTGCTTCATAGCTCAACGCTCAACCACTGAGCCACAATTCTGCTCTTTTATTTTCCTACACTGCTTCTATGAAATGGCATCTAACCTTCTCTCTTAATTCTATACTTATTCATTAGTCATTAAATGGTGCAAGAGTCCTACTACTTCATTGTCTTCTAAAGTAGTCAAATCTGTCTGGCCGATGTGGCTCAGTGGTTGAGTGTCAGACCAGGAACCAGGAGGTCACAGTTTGGTTCCAGTCAGGGCAGGTGCCTGGGTTGTGGGCTCCATCCCCAGTAGGGACATGTGCAGGAGGCAGCCAGTCAATGATTCTCTCTCATCATTGATGTTTCTATCCTATCCCTTTCTCCCTCTCCCTTCCTCTCTCTCTCTCTCAAGTCAATAAAAAACATACAAAAAACTTAGTCATATCTGAGCATTTATATGTTATTTTATTAAGAATTATTTTTTCTCCTTTACATTAAAATTATGGCATTATGTTGTTTTTGAAATTATATGTGGTAGGTAATGTTAGCCATGAATTTGATTTTAGGATAAAATAATTGCAAAATAATGTTTCAAAATGTTACAAATAATTTGTTACTCAAAGCAGGACTTGGGTCTGAATAGGATTGAGAACCCATGACCCAGATTCTGCCAGAGGACGGATGTATCCCGTTTGGAAGAGAGGAAAATAAACTTTCTCAGTCCCACCTTCCAGTCTTTCTTAAATACCAGCCACTCTCTTCCGGGGGGAGAAGAATGAACACAGGCTTTGAAGCCACTCAGAACTGGTTCCCAATAGGGCCTACTAGTCAGTCGTTTACTAGCAACGTGACCTTGTGGAAGTTACCCAATCTCCCTGAGCCTTGGTTCATCTATAAAATGGCTCTCACCATTCATGCCTCTTAAGGCTGCCATGGAATTTAGGAGACACCATGGGACAAATCTTGCACAGCAAGGCACTGACCTATAATTGGAATTTAACAAATGTCCAATGCACTTCCAATCCATCACCTCCATGCCCAGGGCTACAGCTAACTCCAAAGGTACCTTCCTACAAATGAAAAAAACCAGTGCCCTTGCATCTGGGTGGGTGCCACCCCGTGTCAAAGCTCATGGACTTGGTGAGAGGAACACTTCCCCACCCCCAACCCAGATCAGGGACCTGATGGAATCCTGTGCATCCCCCATCTCTTTCCAGTTAGACACCAACATTGAAAGAATGAGTTTTCATGACGTACTGGCGGTGTTCGAGATTTTATCATTGAAGTTCCAAAGTAATGGATGGGTGATCATCTTCTTCTTCTTTTTTTTCTTAGGCAGACTGGGTAGCGAGGTCTTGGAAGAATTCCAAGAAGAATCTCTGGACAAGACCTCCTTCTGAAAGATATTTTCTAAAGTCCATTTTTTCTTATGCATCAGCGCCATGAGTCACTGCTCTCATAAGTGGACTTCAACCAAGAAAATGAAGGCTAGAACCTAAACTGGCTGCTAAGCAATAGCCCCACCTTCGAAGCCCCCTTTCAGGTCTTTGTGACATGACTCTCTTGGAACCAGCACATTGTGGTGTAAAGGGAGCCGGGAAGGCCTCACATTGAAACGCAGCTCTGCTAATTATTAACGACATGATCTTGGGCAAGTTTTCCACCCAACATCTCAGTTTCCTCACCCGTAATACTATGGATATTGTTAGCTAGAAGCTTGTTAGCTCCTATCTCCCTTTCTGCCTTCTTTGATTTATTCATTTAACAAGTACCTTTTAAACTCTTGTAATATGTCAGGCACTGCTTTAGGCAGTGGGAAAAGAGCACTGAACAGAAATTCATGTCTTCATAGAGGTGAATTTTTCTCCAGGCCTTGCCATTCTTTGGCTAGAAATGTAATTACATTTATAACAATACCCAGTTTTACTGACTCTTGCCTTCACCTACTCATTGAGGACCCAGTCAACCTCCAAGACATGTCACGTGAGGGCTCAGAAGTCGATACACTGGCTGCAATCATAGTGAGCATTTTTCCCCCTATGTTCTGTGACAATATTCCAGCGCCCCTTTATCAATGTTGAATTGTCATCACCGCCCCCCCCATCCCTGCTATGCCCTTCTAATGGCTTCCCAGCTCACTTACACTAAAATGCAAACTTGACCACTGTCTTTAGTACCTAGAACATAAGCTGGCACATAATAATCAGTAAGGCCCTAGCCAATTTGGCTCAGTGGATAAAGTGTTGGCCTGCGGATCAAAGGGTTCCGGATTCCATTCTGGCCAAGGGCATGTACCTTCATTGCAGGCTTCTCCCAAGCCTGGGCCCTGGTTGAGTTGCATGCAGGAGGCAACCAATTGATGTGTTTCTTTCACATCAGTCCCTCTCTGCCTCTCCCTCTCTCTTCTACTATCCCTAAAAAATTAATGGAAAAATATCCTCAGGTGAGTATTACCCAATAAGAAGAAGAAGAAGAAGAAGAAGAAGAAGAAGAAGAAGAAGAAGAAGAAGAAGAAGAAGAAGAAGAAAAGGAAATATCAGTAAGTGCTGTGAGCTCATGAATGGTCATTACCCAGAAGGCTGCGAGTGTGTGCCTCATCACTACCAGAATGCTGCCTTCCACCACGAGGACATGGAGGTCTGTGCCAAAGGAGGCAGTAAAATGCAGACACTTTGGAACCAGCTGGCTTGTCTTTGGGTCTGGTTCTGCACCTTATTAGCTGTGTGGTGTTGGGCAGGCCACCTAATTCCTCTGTGCCTCAGTCTCCTGGAATTCATATTACTAGTATATTCCTCACAAGGTTGCTGGGAGAATTAAATGAGTAAATACACGAAAAACAGTTAAGACAGAGTTTGACCTATAGGAAGCATGCCAAGAAAAAACAGGAGCCATTGCATTCCTTTTTATTAGTCAAAGTTCTTTTAGTTGCAAGTAAAAGAAAGAAACTTGAGCCATCTTAAGCAGCAAAGAATTTACCATGTAGTTATAGGGGTGTTTCAGAGTCCACGGGCAGAAATGCGTCTGGGCCTCAGGAAGGAGCTAGAATCCAGTTGGAAAGCCACTGCTAAATGTCCTTTCTCCATGGTGCCTTTCCTCTGTAGTTCCCCGTTAGTGTTCCTGCTCTGTGTCCAGGGCAACTTTCCATTCTCAGTCTCTCACTACAGCTCCAGAGCTGACACATTACAGGCACAGACACTCTCAGGAACCAACAACCAGTCCTTGTTCCCTGTTGCATATTCCGAGAGGCGATCATCTGATTGGCCCTGTGGAGTCTGATGTCCACCCCAGTCAACCAGCTAAGCCAGGGGAGGACATGATGCGGTGCAAGCACAGTGGCTGGTGACCACCACTATGGGCTCAAGGAGGGGGGCAATCTCCTGAGAAAGAGACACTGCTGGCCCATGGGCTGGGCAGACACCCCAAAAGGAGTCCACTGCATAGGTCTTCCCAAAGCTGCCAATCCAGGAGGTGCTGGACTAGCTTGGGGACCTAGGAGATGTGAAGAGAATACCCTAGTCTTCTGCTCTCTGAGTGAGCCAAGCAGGCCTGTGCCCTCTAATCGCACGGAATCACTTTGGCTCCTTCCTGAGGACAGTCACTAGGTGACAGACCGATCTTCGTCATGTCCACATCCCATCCCAGCACCAAACCTTCAAACCTTTCCATCTGACAGCCTCCAGCCTTCATGCCGATCAACGCAGGCAGATAGAGCACTGCGTGGTCATCTCCACCACGTCCTCACGCACCCGCTTCCA